GAGGGCCACGAAAATGATCAGGGGGATGGAACACCTCTCCTATGAAGAAAGGCTGAGAGAGTTGGGGTTGTTCAGCCTGGAGAAGAGAAGGCTTTGGGGAGGGCCTGTTGCAACAGGACGAGGGGGAGTGGCTTTAAACTAAAGGGGGGGGTAGATTAAGACTAGATAGAAGGAAGAAATTGTTTATGCTGAGGGTGGTGAAACACTGGCACAGGTTGCCCAGAGAGGTGGTGGATGCCCCATCCCTGGAAACATTCCAGGTCAGGTTGGACGGGGCTCTGAGCAACCTGATCCAGTTGAAGATGTCCCTGCCCATGGCAGGGGGGTTGGACTAGATGGCCTTTAGAGGTCCCTTCCAACCCAAACTATTCTATGATTCTACGAACTATTGGAACTGTTACTGGTGGATAGGGTAGACTCTTTGATAATTTAAAGTATTTAAGTCAAGTCTGGATGCTTCTCATAAAGGCCTTCTCATCTCTCAAATAGAGTTTATAGACTTGGTGCTCAATCCTTTGGGTCAACTTCTCTGACAGCTCCCCTGCCTCAGCTCAGGCACTCTCTAGAGTGGTACCTGGATTCCTCTCCTGCTACGTCCCCAACAGAGAGAAGGCTGCAAAAAAACCTCAGAGATAACAAGCCTAGTGTGAGGGACAGAAGGTGAAGGCTGATGTGAAGAGATGTGCTCCAGATGTATTGGATTTTGGCTAAGGGATCACATAATGGATGACCAACCACACGGTCATATAACTTCCTCTGAGTGAAGTTGGATAGTAGAGGTTTCATAGGGTTTAGAAGTGTGTGACTTGCCTGTCTGCTATGGTTTAGTCTTTTTGAAGATGTCATTTTGACATTTGTGGTGGGAAATTGAAAAATAGGGGGCAGGCTGCCTGACACAGTCCTGATTGAGTAGAGTGGCCTCCATGAGGGGTTCAGTCTTTCCCGTGGATAAACTCCTACAAATTTTCCAGTAGATACAAGCTTACAGAGAGATGACCTTGTTGTTCTGAGTCAAGGATCCCACAGGAATGGTCTCTGGACCCTGAAAGGTGTGCTGTCCACACATGGAAAAGCTGGAAAAGCAATGCTGTATAAGGACGACTGTGTAACAGCTCGAACACTAACCTTACATTTGGAAGATTCATGTTGAGCATCGGAGATGTAAAACTTGATGAACCTATTCTTGCAGGATCCCCAAATCCCTGCCTTTCCAATAAAAGCCCTTTATGACTCTGATCTCTCTGCAAATAATTGCTTTCTACAAAAGAAGGTGCTTAGTGCTGTGAGTGTCATTGGTGCAGAAGTGCAATGGCTACGTAAGTAATGAATAAATATTGCTAGAAAACAAAAATTCCAGTCCATACAAAAGTGAGGTTTCCCACTGATTTTGTACCTGAATCCAACTGATCAATTTTTTTGTTGTGTATGTGTGTTTTCTTTGCAAAAAGGAAGTGTGAAAGAAAGCAGGAAGGCTCTCATAGGTGAATTATGAAAGAAAAAGTAATTTCCCATCATTTATCATTGGCGGGTTGCTTGTCTGTCCTTATTTCATGCCCAAATCTCAGTGATCCAGCTGTTGAGCATTCATCTGAGAATCTGACTTTGTCATCTGCCATGAACTTGAAAAGATTTGGGTTAGGACTCACCAGACTTTCCTGTTAAGATAATATTTCACTGAAAATTTTTTACGAATCTCAGCCATCTATGTCCTGAGTAAGTGACTATCAGGCAGCTGAGTAGTAACAAACATATACACAAATCCTTAAGAGCTATCATCATCTTTACTCTAGCTCCGTTGATTTCCCTGGAGTTACCCAAAAGATAAATCTGATTCCAAATATGGTTGATGAGTGGGGTGGCTCAAGAAAGTTATTCAGATCTCTGCAGACCTTTATGCAAGAGGAAGATATTACCTCTTTGGCCTTGAGTGCATTCTCACTTATACTGGTATGATTTGAGAGGAATGTCACTGAGTCAGATTTATACCCGAGTTACATGGGCGCAAGCAAGAGAAGGATTGAGCAAACTGTGCCTAAAGCCCCAGTGGATTTGAGAGCCTTCTGCAGCAGCTTAGGTAGCTTTTCTTTCTATCCTTAGCAACACAGTCCTGATTAACCCTCCAAGCTGTGGTCAGTCATTTTGAGGACAGTTTGACTGACAGCATGTAACCTGCTAACGCTTTTCCCTGCATTGCCCCGTGCATTAGATCCTAGAGGTGGTTGGTTGGCTGTGTTGGGTTTTTTTTTAATTACTTGGTTGATTTATTTTTAATCTCTTGGATATTCTATACGCAAAAGTCATCCTGAGCAAGAGGCATGAAGCATTTCAATGTAAGTACAAAAATATGCATTGAGACTCCTCTGTTATATATCTGTAAAGAGGTGTATTTGGGCAAGATGACCATTTTTGTTGCCTTGCCAGATATTCAGTAGAATCCCCTTCCCATTCTGAAACTTCAAATGGACAATGCAAAACTTCTCCCTGTGGAACTCTTTATATTTCATGCAAGATTTTTGTGGAAGGTCCTTTCTTCATATTGTATACCGCTTCGTAAGAGTAGATCTGACAGACCATCTAGGCTTGGGTGGGTAACCAACTCTATCACCCAAAACTTAAGGGACAATGTTCCTTTACACTGGTGATCCCTTAACAGTCTTGTGAAATTATTCCCAAAGAAAATGAGTATTGGGAAAGTATGTTATGATTTGTCCTATATTTTAATTTTTTATACTTCTTTCAATATGATTTAACAGCTTGAAAAAAGTAGAATAAATCCTTGAGAAGCAGTTAGATTTTTGGGAGTGCAGCCAGCATATTGCGGACCACCGTTGGTCCAGGGACTACAATTTGTCTGGATAATGAGTTTGTTTGGAAATTATGCTGCCGGTGTCTGAAAGCTCCAATGTGGGACTCATGGAGAAAAAGTTAGAGCCACCTTTCTGAAAGCTGTTGAAAAATAGAGAAATTAGATTACTTTTTTTCTCCTGGAAGATAGAGTGATGGATTGACCTTTAACTGGGAAATAAATAAGTGAATAATTGCTTGGTGAACTAGGTACATGGAAATAATAAATCATACTGAAATCTTTGTCTGTGTGCATGGATATATAAAAACAGAGATTTTTCAAAATAATAATCTTTCACATGTGCCTAATGTCTTTTCTCATTTAGCCTGGGTTAAACTTCCATTTATTGCAGGAGTGAATTTGCTGTAGTACAAAGTGCAAAAATATTTCTCTTAAGAGTAGCATAGTAAGAAAATAATGGTTTTATTCTAAAATATGGAGGAAATCAGCATTTATAGTTTTTTGAATGCTGCACCTCTGCAATCAATGACAAAATTCCCACTAATTACAGTGGTCACCGAACTGGTTCTCCAAAGAGTAATTTGTGAATAGCGTGACTGTTGTCTTGAAACTAGAACTTCATTCAGCTGCTGCAAGAAGTGTAACCAGGAGCATACTGAAGGAAGCATGTCATTAGAAATACATTTATTGTTTTCTAAAAGTCATTTGTGAACACTAAAAAAATTCTTTCTTGTGAGAGACTTTTTTGAAGTTGCCATAGAAAACTGACTATGTCAGTCTTATCGACTAAGAACATAATTTGGAAAGTAAATTGGATGTAGGTGCTTGTAGCCAGAACCACCTTCTGCACGCTACAGGACAAGCTACTGCATTGCGTACTAACAGTTCAAATGGTTTGTTGCCTCTACGTGAGCAGTAACTTCTGATCAGAAGATGACATCTCTAAATGCCATTTTGAGAGTCTCCATTTAAGTTTGAGTAACTAACTCAAAGTGAACTGTGGAATCGCTGTTCATATTCATGAAATAGACATCTGTCGTACTCATTACAGCCAGTATTTTAGCAGCTGTAAATAGTGTTGTTTGGGGTTTTTTCCATGTCAGAAATAAAGCATCTTCTTTTTTGGCATAGTAGTTTCGTTCCATGTGGGGTCTGAATTTTTTAGTGACTGACTTCTTAGACATTTGATAAGGGTAAGCAAGAAAGAGTAGAGTCCAGCCTCCTTTCCACTTTTCTCCATCATGGCAAAGACATTAAAAACAGTTGGATTGCAAAGGATGGGTTTCAATCTCCAGACTTAAACACTAAAGCCAGGTTAGCTTTAAAAGCGAAGGACACGAGGTGCTCCGACACAAATTGGGCAGATCATTCTCCTCACACCTGTGCTTACCAGGCTGAATTCAGATTTTCCCACTGTTTAGCAGAACCAGCGTTTGTAGTTCTATCTGAGGTCTTATGGTAAGAAATATCGCATTTGTTTGCATAACTGCCATGGATTTTAATCCAGATCTTGCCTTAGCACACTGTGGCATGGCCACATGCAGCTGTTCTGAAACGAGACTACTCTGCCCCTCAGTACGCTCAGGAGCAGTTGTGTGCTACAATGTGCAATCACTACATGAACAAATTCAGGTTTTTTTTTTTTGTTATACGCCAGTTCACAGGGTTAAAGGGTTACATGAGAATTTCAGCTCTCTGCTTGTAAAAATAAAACTGAAGTAATCACTGGCTCTGATCGTTTCAGAGAAAACCTCAAAAATATAAGCAAGGAAGACACAAAACTCAAAAGGACAACAATACACAAATATCAGTTTTTGTGGGTTTTGCCTGGGGTCTGACTCATGCTTTTTGTGCCTTAGGGGTGACTAACACTGACTGAATTCTCATTGGCATCTGCAGGACAAGGATGGTTTAACTGTGAGGAGCAGGGTTATGGCTACTCTTCCCACTGTGTTTCCTCGTATCTACCTGAGCCAGTGAGTTCAGAACTCCATGTTGGTACAATCTGCTCTTGATCAAGCACAGATGTTAAAACTGTTGTGAGGAAAACAAACTTTGCTCCCATGCTAGTCAGGCTCTGATTCTGCATGACTCCAACAAACCCTACTCTGTTTTTGCTTCTCTTGTAGTTACCTTTAAGCAAGAGGGATGACTCAGGTGCCTGCTGACTACCTGTCAACAACCAGCTCCTACAACTATGAGCAGCCCTTTCCCTCCGTGGCTCGGACAAATGCTGTCACCAAGGTACCCCCAGCCAAAAAAATAACCTTCTTCAAGAGTGGAGATCCTCAGTTTGCAGGAGTCAAGATGGCCATCAACCAGCGAAGCTTCAAGAGCTTCAATGCACTCATGGATGACCTCTCTCATCGGGTCCCACTGCCATTTGGGGTACGGACCATCACCACCCCACGAGGAATACATTGCATCAGTGAGCTGGACCAGCTGGAGGATGGAGGATGCTACCTTTGCTCCGACAAGAAATATGTCAAGCCTATTAGCATTACTTCTGGGGGACACAGGCCAGGCCCTCCACGAAACGGTCGTCCCTCCAGTACCTTGAGAAGAGCAGCTCAGGAGGGCAAGCTTGAAGATTATTCCACACTTTTGACTCAGCATGGCCCCAGAATACCCAAGAAAATCACTCTAGTTAAGAATGGAGAAAGTGGTTTTCGGCGCTCAATTATCTTGAACCGCAGAAATGCCAGGAGTTTCAAAACGCTCCTGGATGAGATTTCAGAGATCCTGCAATTCCCAGTGAAGAAGCTCTACACTGTTGATGGGAAGAAGGCAAGTATCTCTGGTACCAGTTGCCGGTCAGTTATTCTAACAGGTGTTATCACATCAGTGTTTGCATTCCTTGTGATGCAAATCCTTTAGCTCATGGGGCCAATAGTTTACCCACATTACCTTAATCCTTTGGGCTGGTGTAGTTACTGTCACATTAGTTACTTTCCCGCTAATTACATGAAGGGGTGATGTAGAAGAATGTTGTTCAGCCATTCAAGAACTTCATATGTCAGATATTGTTTTGGGTCAATGGGAGGCAACTTCTGACAGAAGTCCAGAAGCTCAAAGTTTTGCAGCTGGTATTAAAATCGCTAAATAAACTTCTAGTAATGGAGTTTCCCACCCTCTCCCGGGACGCACGTCCCAATGGTGGCTTAACTTTTCTGTACCTAATAACCAGGAATTCAACAAAATAAGAGAGCCTTTAGGTAGCACCTTGTGGTTGCACAGTTCCTAGTAGGACAGGGTTCCTGCTCATGATGTGGGATCCTCAGTATTATCATAATATGACTAATAAATGCATAAATAATCAGGGTATGAGTGGGATCAGGAGATGCATTTGTGTTGATGATTTGGTGAATGCGCCAATTGGTGTGAACTCTTATAATAAATTCAGGGCATGACAACTCCTTTTTTCTTCTGTTCCCAGAGGAGTTTCCTGACAAACCTGACATTCTCCTGATTTCTTCTCCGTCTCTTTGTAACGTAGACTAACCTGTACTTCCATTTCTTCTGAAGAGGTCTCACATGTTAGCCTGACTTGTCCCTGGCAATGCAGCCAAGTGGAGCAGTTACCCTGCTCCTTGCCACATTTTCCACCTTCACAGTGCCATGTGCCAGCTCCTCAGTGGTAATGTTACAACCATTTGTGGTGTCACTTTCTGAATCAGATGACTGAAATGACTTGGGTTCAAATGACCCACTATCCAGGACGGGGGAAAAAAAATGGAGGAATATTTTTAACCCAGATCATTTGACCTGGCACAGGGACAGGAGTGTGCAGCCATGAAGGAGGGAGGGAGGGGATGATGGCACCTTAAGCCAGCTTTCCTGGTGGAGGCAACATGTCATATCACAGTACTTTCTGCTATGCCCACCACTCTGGAAAAGGCTTCCTGTTCTCAGGTGGAAGATCCAAGGAAAATGTCCTTCCCAACCACACTACTGCTACAGCTTTCCCAACCCTACTGATCTAGAGGCTAAAAGAGCGTCAGCCTGACTGCAGTCAGAGATGAGATGAAATGCCAGGGAAAGGATGGTGCCACTCCACATACGCCAGACAAGTGAAACCTCAATCTTGCTGAGAAACTGGAGGTGCTGCAGAAACTGAGGACACATGCCAGAGTTTAAGATTATCCTCTATGTAGTGATAATGATATTTTCCACATTAAATCCCAGAGGTCCCATAGAGACCTCCTCCCCTTGCTTTTTTTCCTCCATGTTTTCCATCTGCAGAAATGTGGGTGTAGATCAACCACCATCACGTTGGAGATTATCTCCACGGTTCCTCGGGATTCTTTTTTTGGATATGAAAATTTTCATTACTGCTTTGTCAACAGACAGTTCATCTTCTGTACCTTATTAATTTAATTTACACTCCTTTTATTCTCGGTAGAATACCATAGTGATAGGTGACTTTGGGTCTAACCTGATCAATGTTATCAGCTTACACATAGCTAGGAAATATGTGATTATTAATATCTTTTCTGAGGAATCTTTTAAAGTGATTTTTTGGCCATTCTTAATTTCAGTCATTTACCTCTTGCTTTTTAACTGTTCGTTAGTGCTCATTTAGTCGTCATTCCTGTTAGAACTTCCTGGAGCTGTTACCCTAGTCTTGGGTGCAAAGCATTTAAACCACAGAAAAAGGTCACTCAGTCTTAGGTTTTTCCAATCTTTTCCTTTCATAAGGATTCTCTGAACCATTTCTGCTCTTCTGTCTAAGTTTTCTTGCCGTACATCTTCAAGATCTCTGTTCCCTGTACACAACTGGTTGTGTCCCAGAGTTTTCACCAGATACTAATAGTTTCTTTGAGGAGTGAAAATGGTGAATTTGTCACATAATTTGGGTATTTCCTGAAAAACCTCCTTCAGCTGGTGCTGAAGTTTAATTTTGACTGTACATCTTACCTTTATACTTACATTTGCATTTTCTGTTAGAGACATTCTTCCATGACTATTCAAAGGTGTCTGGATGCTTCATATTTCTTGGGTATTTCCTTTTCTCATATTATTCTCTTTGAATAATAATTCAAATTCTCTTTTAATAATTTTGTTATTAACTTCTTTTATCACATGTCTACGTCTAGCCTTATTACACAGGCCACTGTTTCCTGGAAAGGGGGCTGGGAGTGGAAGGAATAGTAACTTTTGACATTCATTCCCAAGATTTGACAGATTAGCTGAATAACAGTAAGATTCATTCCTAAGGAATGTATCTGGACTACTGCTTGATTGACTTTGTATTTGTCTGGCTTAGAATAATGTAATTCACAGCATTTAATAGCAGGTTCACAATGTCTCTTCTGCTGGCAGTTTTTCCTTGATCTCTTGAAAACTGAACACAAAAAAGGAAAAAATCTCCTCTCCTACAGATGAATCGATGTCTTCCATCAATGAAAGTGCTATGCATAGACCTGAGAGTGTCGCCCCCTCAATCTGCTTTTGTTTTCTTCTACTGCTATAACTCCAGATCTTAACTTGAATCTTAAGATAAGTTAAATCACCTCTACAATATAATGTATGGTTGGCATATACTGTCCCAGTGCCTCTGTTTTAATTTCTTTACCATTTTGTTGAGTAAACCCAGAACAGTTCAAAATTACAAGTTTGGTTTCCTATTATACCTTTATGTGGGTATAAACTTAGACACACATGGAACAGGCTTGTTGTTATGTGTTCCTTTCATGTAATATTGATTTGAAAAGGCAGAGAGAAGTGTTTTCTTCCTTTTGTAGTTCACCTAGTCCACAAATGTTTCCAGAAAACCTCTAAGTTTAATTCAATCATAACTCACAGGGAAATAAACTTTTTGGACTGTAAATCTCACTGGTTTTGTGCATAAGTACATTTTCTTCTCCAGACAAATCTTGTATAATTTATTTTTATAGCCCTCATTTTATCTCAATTTTTTCCAAATTGGTTTTAGCCTAAGGTTTTACCTGAAAAGGAAGAAATGCTAGTGATTTCATGAAGTCAATGAACTGAACATTTTACGGCTTTTTTTTTTCATGGACAAAGTCAGAAGGTCATGGGCAGCTATGCAGAATCCTAATACAGATGAAAGTCATTGTAAGGCCAAAGGTCGTGTTGTAGCATCAAGATCCATTGGAGGCCAGCAGAGCTCTTGCTTTTTGATCACACTTATTTTGCTGTTATTTTGTCTTTTCTTGCTCCCATTTGTCTGCTTATTTACCTCTCACATATTTTCAAAATTGTACTTTATGAACTTCCTAGGAAAGGTCAGTCTATTTGCTGGTTGCTTCTTCTGTGGCTTGGATTATGGGGCCTTCATTGCTCTTGGGTCAGAGAGTATTTCAGTGCTATGAATTCAGAATTAGCCTATAATAATTATGCAAAACGCAGGTCAGTAGAAACAGTGATTGAAAGGTCCTGATTCCAATGTTAGTATAAATCCAGAGTGGTTCTATTGGAATTTACACATTTGAATTTTCATTCTAACCTGTGAAGCCTTGGACGAGGTGAAACCAATATTTTTACTCTTAATCATCAAGCAGACTGCCTACTAGGAAGGAAGAGCTAGTCCCACTGAAGTGAATAGGTGTTTAAGTATTTGGGCACTGATTTCAGCAGGGCTAAGAACCCCTCTTCCCACATTAACCCTGATTTTTGTTGTCAGTTTCTAAATGAAAATAGTAATTTGATGACTATGGGACTGGAGAGAAATTTAATTTTATTTTAGCTTAGAAAAATCAGTTAAATTTTCAGCAAGCAAAAAGTCTAAATCATATAGTTCTTTTCAGGTCAAGACACTAGTTACTCTTTTCCAGGTGATTAACTGGAAATAGTGCCCAAATAGAGAAATCTATTATTTAGGTTAACATTGACATGTCATTAACTTGCCAGTGAAACATTCTTTGTGCAAGTTTGGGCACTAAAAGATAGACAGGTCTGAACTTAATTCATCTATATCTGATCAGCTTATTAGGCATTTAGGATGGGGGGTCATTTTGCTTGTTGACTTCTCTTTATTGACTGTAGAAGATAGGAAGACTGATTCAGACTAGTCACCTAAAATTAGGAGGAATTAACTCAGGCCCAAGTTTTCATACACTTGTTTTAAAGTACTGCAGATATTTAAATATTAGCAAACATAAGACACAGGACTCTACACCTGAAGATCACTTGGCTGATGAGACAGTTGAAAATTGCAGCTTTCCTAGTTTTTACTAGGGACATCAGTTCTACGCTAAAAATGAGCCAGGTGTGCTACTAAGAGCAGATATCTCGATAAAAAAAAGTAGAGTATAATTTGTAGGTTATCTTCTCCGTCAGACGGACTTTCATCTCTGTTGTGGGAAGTTCTTATACAACCCAGTGGATTTTCTTTCTCCACAGTCTAAACCACGGAAGAGC